TAAGACATGGACTGTCTTAATCATATTTAACAGCAACAGTCATGAAGCTGTTAAATTACTTAGTTAACCTAAAAACAAAATGGTGGAAAAGAAACATGGAATTTGAGGTTAGGTTACATATATTCTAATTAATTTAAAGCGAGAAAATTGTAAATGAATATTAAATAAATTTTGTATACATATGTAACTACAATGCAATATGTACAACAATTGTCTTATAGGGAAAGTCCATGTCTTCAGGGAAAGCTACATATTATACATATACATATAATTGTAAGGTGAAATGGGGTAAGTGCAGACTGGTTTTTGTAAAGTTGGTATTTAAACGTAAGTATTTTCAGTCTGCTATGTAAATACTTAACGCTGACGATATCGAACGCTTTGCACAATTACTACTATTTAATTAATATTAACTAGGACCTTAATTTTCCTTGTACATTTTGATTCTGATAGGAAATTGTTTAAAATGTCAACTACTCTGCAGTTTTCTCGAAAATGGGGTAAGAGCGTAACTTGAAGTTAAATACTTTGAAACTTTATTTCATGTGCAATGGAGCAAGAGCAGAATTATTAACAAATCTGCTATAAAATGCTTTTTACTGCATTATGCAAGTCTATACTACAAACAAGTACTATTAGCTGAAATATAAAAGGGGATGTAGTGATTACAAAACAAGGAAACAAACATACTAAATGGAGAAATTTCGCTCATATTGTAATAAAAATATCCTCTATACGCACTTGCCCCGTTTACGAACTTACCCCACTTCACCTTAATTTAGTATTATGTTCAGATTAACTTAATAGAATGTTAACTATTTTCAAAGTCGGTCATTTCGTATGGAACATAAATATAATACAGTACGTCATTCGCGTAATCGTTAGAAAAGTTTCGCAACCACGTTAGCTCTTTTTGCAGAACATTTAACTTATGAAAACGTTCGCACCACTGATATCGGTAGTGATTTATACGCTGCCAGTGGCAACATGCAATTAATCGTTGTTGTGAGGTACAGTTTGTCGTGAATGTGCGAGGATGTCAAAGCGAGCAAGTGCGATCGATTTGCAATAAATGGTACGCGTCTCGTTCAGTCCACTCTGTGATCATCGATGCCGAAGTGAGTCAAATCGATAGATTACACTTACTCGAAACGATTGATTTCTATTACAAATATTAATCAATTACACACGTTTGAAACGATCGCAGAAGTACGTGGTCTGAACGAATTAATTGTAGAGCAATTTATTTCATCGTTCGTCAAATACACTGTAATTCACGCGTCTATTGTTGCAGCAGAAATAATAAAGTACATTATGAAGTGGATTAACAATAAAACTATCGGCGTATAATACACGCATAATTTGAAACTAAAAGTAAAATATAAAACACAAATTAAATATGAATTAATGTACATAGTAATTGTTTATTTTAGTAACAATCAATGTATATTTCAAAATGAACATCTTGACAAATTTTGGAATATGTAAAAGAAAATTTATGAATGGGTCAAATGAACCGTTTAGTACTCTTTGTGTAAAACGTATGAATTGTTTATAACAAGCTTAATGTATCTTCATTTTTTAAAAAGAATGTACTTTCCTGTATTTTTCATTCAAATCATGGTACTAATAAATATAGTGATTTAAAGTGGCTTAAAAAATGAAATTACTAATTTTTATTGAAAAGAACTTATCTTAAAAATTAGTTTTTCAAAACAAGTCTTTATTTTCATATTTTGAATATTATGATTATATTGATATTCGAAACTATTATATTACTTTCATTTTTGGTTGTTATAACAGTTTTATGATTATTACAATAACACATATCATAATTATTATAACAATGAAATTGAAAGCTAATATTTTATTTTCATTTTTTAATACGTAAACCTCAATTACGGGTGCATATATTGAAGACTATATTTTACCATCAATTTTTAGCAAAAAATATAAAAACTTTTAAGAGGTATTTCTTCCTACGAAAACTGATGTTTTCGATACTTACAATTTTAAACAATTTTTGTGTGTTATGAACATAACTGAATTTTAACTTAATAATGCCTAAATTATATTCAGGGCATATTTGAATTAATTGTCAATATTTTTCATTTTGATATCGTTAATAATTTGGAAACAGTAATGCGCAGATCATACGCCAACCTAAAAAGCTCGCGGGCACGCGTGTATATGATGTACGCAACGATGAAAATCCACAAAGACTTTAAGTCTTCAAATATTCAAATGGTTTTATTGACAAGTTTTAAAATTTATAAATGCAGTACATTTTTGCAATATTGAAAAATCCTGAATTTGGGTATTGGGAAATTGGAAAATTGAGAAATCGGGAAATTGGGAAATTGGGAAATTGGGAAGTTGGAAAATTGGAAAATTGGAAAATTGGGAAACTGGGAAATTGGGAAATTGAGAAATTGAGAAATTAAGAAATTGAGAAATTGAGAAATTGAGAAATTGAACAATTGAGAAATTGAAAAATTGGGAAATAGGAAAATTGGGAAATGGGGAAATTGATCATTTGGAAATTGAGCGATTGAGTAATTAATAAATCGGGAAATTGGGAAATTTGAAAATTAAAAAATTTGGATTTTTGGAACTTGGAGAAATTGAAACTTTGAAAATTTAGGAACTTGGTAATTTGGTAATTTGGTAATTTGTTAATCTGATAATTCGAAAATCTAAGAATGTATGTATTTCAAAAATTAGTGAATAAAAATTAATTCCTCATTTAAAATTAAAGAATATAACATAACCTTGAATCCATAAAAAAAGTTTAAATTCAAATCAATTTTCAATTTGTATAAAAGCACTGTTTTTTATAAGTGCATAACCGATACAATCAAACGTATCTAAACTATAGACGACATAACAATTAATAAGAGTTTATACAGGCAAATTTCAATTGCAGTTCGCCGTACGGGTTACAAAATTACTTCGAGCATTTGTAATTGTTTAATTAATCCGTAGCCAGGTTATAGTCGATAACTGTTAATAGACATTGTCGGAAACAAATTTCATTCCAATTCTCTGATTACGTAATAAGGTTAGAGTAATTGTTTGCAACTGCATAATCGATACCTACTTTAAATCGAATTCGGATATTTTGTCACACAGTGGGTTACGAACGTGTCCGAACGCTTGAATCGCAAATTGTTGACAATTGAAATGCACATGTGATCGCATATTTCCACTGCTAATCACAGTGAAAATGAACTTATAAAGGGTATAATTTTCGAGACCATGAATAATTTCATCTGATTTATTTCTTTTTTTGTTCTTGTAACTCGTATGCTGCAGTGAAAACTGACGTTCGTAGTCAGACACGCTCTTACACATATTATTAGGAACAGGAATAAACATATTTAATTTTTCAATTTCAGTTTTTAAACTGTCTGTGTATATTATTTTGTCAGCATTAAGAGTCCTTAATAGTTCCTTTTGTTAGCTTTTCCTGTAAAGAATTAAATTAACTGAATTTGTAATGTCGGTCACATATGTCACATATGATATAAGAACAAGAGTATTTCATCTTCCAATTTCATCTTTCTATCTGCTTATGTATATTATTATATCGACATTAAGAACCCTTAGAAGTTTTTTTTGTTAGCTTTTGCTGCAAAGAATTTAATTAACTGAATGCCGATCACATATGTCACATATGATATAAGAACAAGGATACTCAACCTTACAATTTTATCTTTTAATATATCTGTGTATATCATTGTCTCAACATATGAGACAATCATTATAAACCCTTAAAAGTTCTCTTTATTAGTGTTTCCTATAAACAATTCATTTAACTAAATTTGCAGTGCTCATATGACCACATATGACTAGATATGATCACGTATCGTTGGCCTGTTAATTTCAAAAGAATTTTTTATAACCTTCATAAGCAATAGTGGCACATTTTTTCTACTAATATAATGCATAAAGGTCATGTAAATTTTAAGTTCATTCTAAATATTAGCTTTTACTCTATATACATATATATGTAAATTATTATTTTGTATAATAAAGGAATATTTATTAGCGCTTATCCTTGTTCACTAATTACTTCATTCATGATTTTAGTAAGAATTCATGTAATCGAATCAAAACCCATTTTCATCCACTCACATCATAAATTCATACAATATGTAAATTCGTCCTTAGTTATATTCATTCATCAATTCATGGTCTACTTTGTTCGTACATCTAATCCTTGTAATTGAGAAATGGCCTTTGGTCAGCATAAAATTTTGTTCCCAAAATATTAATAATTCAAATTTTTGAACTCTCAAATATTGTAATTTCTAAATTAACATGTAAAAATTGTCAACTATGTTATCTTAAAAATCTCCAATTTTTCTTATATTCAAATTCACAAATTCACAAATTCACAAATTCACAAATTTACATATTCACAAATTCACAAATTCACAAATTTACAAATTCGAAGTTCAAATATTTAAGATTTTGAAATCTCAAAATTTATAAATTTAAAACTAAAAATATTTCAAATTACTGTTTCTTTAAATTTTCATTACTAAACCAATTCTAAAAGGTATATGATAATAATTATCCCCTTGTTGCAAATTCACAAACTCGTGTGCAATGTATACTTTCTATGAGTAAGAATAGAGAAGTCTTTTATTGTTTCCTTTCGGTTTTCGCAAAATAATTACATTAAACCTACACCTAATCCAAACCTTCCTTCATAATAATGATGTCTCACAAGGTCAGAATTAGAGACATTAGTAAATTTTTAAATAAATAAAACAAAACTTGAAAAAAAAACTTTTTATTTAGTTCATACACTATGACAACATTTGCAAGAATATTTAAATTGCAATATAAGAATATAATAACAAAAATATTTGAGTGCTAATATTTTCGTGAGAAGCTACATATATAACAAGTCGTATGCAACAGTTGACCTAAACGTACACGCAAGCGATAAATTTTTTCAGCTAATATTGTATCTCATCATCTCGTTTCAGAAAGAACGAAGCAATGATCACGAAGTGGTTCTGGAAGATGTTCAACCGACTCATAGTGGCAAATACCGTTGCGAAGTATCTGGCGATTCCCCTTCGTTTAGTACCTTAACAGACTCTGGTTACATGTACGTTGCCGGTAAGTATCGTGATTTCGTCTTCTACTAGCACGAGGAACAGCTGGTAGCAAGGCGCAACAAGAAAACAACTAATATCTTGCGATAAAAATGATCGATGTCCAATAGGAGGATGAACGTAGCGACGAAAAAATTAATGGAATTATTTTCCTCGATAGTATTACGCTGTAATATGTAGGTTACTTGGAACCCTTCTTCAGATTTTTAATTTTGGACGTAGGGTACTTTACCCCAATTTTAAATAGTAATTGACTAAATTGCTGAAACTCTGGATCCCCAAATTTTCTAATCTTTTAAACTTCTAAATTTTCAAATTTCTATGTAAAGTATTTTTAAGCCCTTTTCGCATTTTCAAGTTTCGATAGTTTGTGTTAAAATGTTCTAATGTTCTTAAATTTGAAATAGTAATTGATTAAATCGCTGAAATTCTGGATTCCTAAATTTTCTTATCTTTTAACGCTCTAAATTTCCAAATTTCTAAATCCGAAAATATGCAAAATTTCCAAATCCTAAAGTTCCCAAAGTTTAAATTTTAATTCCTTAAATTGCTAAGTCTCTGATCTTCAAATTTTCTAATCTTTTAAATTTCTGATCCTCTAAATTTTCTAATTTTTTACTTTCTCAGCTGTCCACATTTTTTAATTTTTTAACTTTCTAACACTAAATTTCCAAATTTCTAAATTTGAAAATGTACAAACATAAAAATTGCTGCACCTAAAGATTTTATAGTTCTTTTTGATACATTGAGAAGTACCAAATTTAAAAATATAGTATCCCATAACCAAAAACTAATCGGGCCTCGACATCCTATCGTGTTCCTACACGAACTAAAAATGCGTGTTCACGTTGTACCAGTGAAACGCACATACACGTTTCGTTATTATCGTGTAGACTTGCAATTATCAGGTAATTTCATATAAAGAGGTTTATCCACAGCGGAGCTACAAAGAAGACATTAATTGCCCTCGATAGCGTATCTCCTTACTCGCAGTACAAATAACGCAGCCGCAGGGGATAATTTGTTCCTGGGAACGTTAAGAAATTCTGCAACAGTGTAACATTAACGGTTACTTAATATTCTTTTTTAAAAAAACGATACCTGAAATGAAGTTCTCCTTGGAGCATGTATTCTACGCATAAATCATCGTATCCTAAGGGTTAAAGTGCTTAGTCCATTAAGCACATCCTGTTCCGTTTTAGCGTTAGGTAAACAGATTAGCTTGATCCCACCTAATTACTATGCTAATAGAGACAATTACATCGATCAATCAAAGATCACGCGTTCATACCCTATTTTCATAAATGCTTTCAAGATAATGCAACTTGTTTATCAAAATTGATTAGGTCTTCGGATAGAGCACCATACCGTCTTAGGTACAGCATCACGGGATTAGAACTTAAAGTTTCCGTATAATAACATTTCTAGTTTCTTCGAACACAGGTTCAAATTAAGAGGTAGTAGCTATAACAGTCACATCCTATCAAGTATCTCTAGTTTATTACTATTTGCAGTTTACTATTCGTGTCGAGGTGCTTGGTTTCATCACCTGCTACGGTCACTTTTAGGGGTATATCCACACCCACCTCATACGTCACTCGGTTTTCATTTCCACCTGAATTTGTGTACCCAATAGAAATCAAAAACTGTTCCCCTTAGTTCGTACAAATTGTACGCCCACACCGAGCCTTCATCTTGTGAAATAAGCAATCGAAAAGATAGACACGAGGTTCACTTCAGAACATCGGATACATAGACACGTGCACTTCGGAACATCGGATACATAGACACGTCGTTCAGTTTGGATCATTAAAAATAAGTAGAAAGCACATATCGATGTTATACAATTATTCAATCTACAGTCCATTTATAAATGTTAGGACGTTCAACGATTATATTATAGTTCTCTGCGTCATTCAATCGTCGCTAACAATTACCGACTGTGACGCACATACATGCCCCATTCGTGGTCCATTTGCACCCCCGATTTAAGGGGTCGCGGAAGATTAATATAGGTAGAGATGAAATCGGATTTACACTTGGAAGGGACTTATGTTAGAACTTCATAAGATTGTTCTTTGCGTTGTTTAATCAGCGTTAATAATACCGGCATTGCTTGGTTCCATTACTTGCTACGGTCACTTTTTATGGTATACCCACCGCATACATCACTCGGTGTTTCCACCCTAATTTGTGTACTCAATAGAAATCAAGAACTGCTTCCCTCAGTTCGTAACAATTGTACGCCCACACTGAGCCTTCATTTTGTGAAATAAGCAATCGAATAGACACGAGGTTCACTTCGGAACACCGAATACATACATTCACTTTGAAACATCGTATACATAGACACATCGTTTGCATCATTAAAAATAAGTAGAAAGCACATATCGATTTCATACAATTATTCGAGCCACTTATAAATATTAGGACTTCAGACGATTCAAGATCCCCGCATTTTTCAATCGTCGCTAAATAGTACCAACGTTCCATCGCATACACTGATAATGCAATCATCGAATTGTTTGATTTTAAACAAAGGAGCTCATCGGGTGATCTCGTTAAATAACCTACATAGAGTTCTTTCATTTCGTTATCCATTATCCGCGACACTCTTAACCGAGTTACTTGTTAATTACCCAACTGCGATCCATCGAACATAACCTTATTTTCTTTCAGTCTTGTTACCCGCTGATACCTCGCCGATGACCTTTCAGCATGCACTGTTAACTTTCAATAAAAACGACGAACGAGCCAGGTATCGAGGTGCACGAAGTTCAGCGATAAATCTAGACGGCCATTGGCAGGGCCGACTGTAGAAATTTTGCCACCCCGAGCAATAATATATCTTACCACCTTCTCTACCTCTGAAAAGAACTCACACAATAACGTCTTAAAAGTCGGGATGTTCTGGTGGACGTATTGCGATAGGAAAGTTGAAAAGTTAGAATATTGGTGAATGTAACAAATGAGGTAGAATAACTGCACTGAATATGGAACACCTCATTTTAAAAACTTGCTGAAGATATGTTTTTTGTATACAAACTTACTTAGGGGATAAATATACACACATTTTGATTTCTTGAAATTATGGTGAAAAGTATAAAAATAGTTAAATATCTTCGGTTTACAAAGTGGTACATAATATGAAAATAATAATATTTGCGAAACAAGATTTGTGAAAACTTTGCTTTTGTTATGAGAAATGAATATGTAAGCAAGAAAGATAAGTGAACGAGTGTATTCCATTTTTTAAGTTCTCACAGGTGAATTAAATATTACTTTACTTTAAAACTTTTTAAAAACTTTTTAATTTTAAAACTTTTAAATTCCCAATTTTAAACTTTAAATTTACAAATTCCAAGATTGCCATTAACATAATATCAGTACGTCTATTTTAAAAATTTTCAAGCATCAAAATTTTTGAATTCTAAAGTTTTCAAGTTAAAAATCTCGAATCCCAAAATTTGTATACTTCCAAGCCACATAACCTCTAAATCGTCAGATTTTCGAAATTCCCATAAGCTAAAGCTTTCATTCCTCACGCTTTAACCCTCTAAACAAAAGAAATTTAGACTTTTCAAATTTATACGTCTTCAGAAGTTTCAATTCCTAAATATCTAAACCTTCTGAATTCCAAATTTCAATGATTATGCTGTTTGACAACTTCTTTTATGCAAGAATTAATTTGAATTACGAAACTGTCACGATCCTGAAATTCAGTTTTTGAGCAAAATTAGAGACGCGAAAATGGTATACGATTTTCAATGACCGTGATTATATGGAAGTGAGCAATGACAATAACATTTTGCTACGAATTACAAAACTGTCACGTTCATGAAATTTAATTTTCAGTCAAAATTAGAATGATGAATGTGGTGTATGATTTTCAAAGATCACCATTGTAGTTTTAGGTTATTGCATTGAATGAAATGAACGATTTTGAAAATAGAAAGGCAGATTTGATCATGTAGAAATACCATAAAATAACGTTTATAGCACATCGGTTTGAAGCTTAAAATATAATGACTATATAAATTCTTCGATAATATTCTTAATATAAAAGAATTGATCCAATTATAGAAAAGGATTTATATGACCAATTTCGAAGTAGGTCTGACACAAATTGATGAAATAGAAATATCATTTATTCTATGTCAACTTAAAACAAAAATAAAAACAAATTTCATAAAAATTACCAGAATTCGCTCATTGTGTTCCATAAAAACTGGCTAGTTGTTAAAAAACCTTCTTACCGTTAAGTTGTGGTACCAAATGAACGTTGATATGTTAGCATATCAAATGTTTCGAAACATTGAAAATCTAACAGAATTTGGTGACATAAGTACCACAAAATATCATGTATATCAATTTGAAGTTTGAAATTTAACAAAAATGACTGCGTACACGTTTTAGGAATATCTTGAATACAAAATGGATGGTTATCACTTGTAAACAAATATCGATTTCAGAACATCTAAAACGTGAAGTAATTTGATGACAAAAATCTATCCTAAAATAGCACATGTACATCAATTTAAAGCTTGACGTTTGTTAAAAATGACCATCTTTTGTTAATGTGCTTAGTATACAATTATTAATCATCAGATAACCTCACTATTGTCCAGAGTGTTCTGAGAAGCAGCCATTACTAAAAAAGATAATGAAAATTTCAGGTAACTTTCAGCAAACTTTAACCTTCAAATTGATATATCACAAGTTATGATCTATAGTCCTTCTATGTTATCAAATTGTGGCAAACTTTTGATATTTCGAAATTGCCATGTTACATATCAATTTAAAGCTCGACATTTGTTGTGAATAACCAGTATTTAATGTGCTTAGAATTGGTACGAAATTATTAGTCGTTATACAATCATTTTACTGAGTAAACGAGATTTTCTGACAACTAATCAATACTAAAAGAAAAGTGAAAAATATAATCATTTTCAACAAACTTTAACCTTCCAGTTGCTATATCATAAGTACTAATTAATGGAAAGGTCAAGTGAGGTAAGTGCAGACTGGTTTTTGTGAAGTTGGTATTTAAACGTAAGTATTTTCAGTCTGCTATGTAAATACTTAACGCTGTCGATATCGAGCGCTTTGCACAATTATTACTATTTAATTAATATTAACCAAGACCTTAATTTTCCTTGTACATTTTGATTTTGATAGGAAATTGTTTTAAATGTCAACTACTCTGCACTTTCCCCAAAAATGGGGTAAGAGCGTAACTTGAAGTTAAATACTTTGAAACTATGTTTCATGTGCAATGGGGCAAGAGCAGAATTGTTAACAAATCTACTATAAAATGCCTTTTACTGCATTATGCAAGTCTATACTGCAAACAAATACTCTTAGCTAAAATATAAAAGGGGATATAGTGAAACAAAACAAGAAAACAAACATTAAATGGAGAAATTTCGCTCATATTGTAATAAAAATAGCCTGTATACGCACTTGCACCGTTTACGAACTTACCCCACTTCACCTTACTTTTATATCATCAAATTATAATGTCAGGCATTTGTTATTTTGAAATTGGTTATTTCATATACAAGAACGCAACAATAATCTCCGGTATAATTTGTATCGAAAAGATCTGAAACCTGTCGATATTTTCTACACATGTTGCACCTTCATTCCGCTACAGCCGTCCCTGATCATTGGTGAACCGTTAGTTTTTCATTGATTCGCAATTCGCGTCCAGAACACGCCTGCCTCGAGGACGCTGCAACGCGGCGTTTCATTATCCTCGTTGATTATCCTGCAGGGTAACCGTCGCGGCATTGTTCCCGTAATCGGGGACAATTAAAACGTAGAGTGACGAAACGAACAGGAGGGACAAAGGACACAGAATAGTTTCCTGGGATCTCGTTCCCACCATCTCGTATTCTCGTTGAACGTCGACTTAACGACTCCACAATCACGATAGCGATTCTTCTTTGAAGAGACGCGTTGTCTCTTCTTTCCGATCACGGATCGCTCGTAAAAGCTCGATACTGGATCGATCCTTCGAATCTTGCCTTGTATCCTGCACTCCTTCTTCCTTTTCGTCCATTCTCACGGAACGGGATGATCGTCCACAACATTACTAGACAAGTTCAAAATGGTAATCTCCGATGGTTGTGTCCTTGAGGGGCCCCAGGACGAAGGAGTAAGCTATATCAGGCGGAAGTCGTTCAGCTGAAGTGAGACAATCCTTTGACAGCTCGGGGGAAATCGAATGCCTTGTGTGGATGGTATAATGATCCTGCGGGATGTACATGACGCGTTATGTATACAGGATACGCAGACGTGAAGGTCCTTTCAATTTTATTCGACAATGGTGCTCCCAGCTTCTTGTTGCTTAGGGGAATAACAGTAGACGGGGTCGAGCAAATATGGTAACAGAAAAAGGTTCAAGTAGAATCAATTGTCTCAATAACTGTTCCATTTCATATAAAAGTAGTGTTGATGTATCAGTTAGGTACTCTTTGAACTTACATAGGGTTTTACTTTCTGCTTTTTCGATAATTTTTAGGAGTAAAAATAAAGATGGAAACGACTTTTTAAACGATTATTTTGTTTGTAATTAAAATTGTTAGAAGAGTTTAATGAGATTTAGGTTTGTGGGCATTTTTGTTACTTCTTCGAAGTAAACTTTCAAATTTTTGAAGTTAGGAATTAAAAGACTTGGAAATTTAGAATTTTTGAAATTTGGAAATATGGAAATTTGGAAATTTGGAAATTTGGAAATTTGAAAATTTAGAAACTTGAAAATTTGGAAATTTAGAATTTTGGAAATTAGAAACTTGGAAATTTAGAAATTTAGAAATTTGGAAATTAAAAAATTTGGAAATATAGAAACTCTGAAACTTAAAATATATGAAAACTTATACTATCAAATATTTCAAAAATTGAAACTCACATTTTCTTTCGAACTTGTACTGCATTTCCCTTTTCTAAATCATATAATTGAAAATACATCTTCCAGTTAATAACCTTATTTCCAAATTATGCGCAAACTTAAGGTATTAAAATTAGTTTTCAAACGAAGTGTCATATCATTATTCAGAGACACGGAGTACTTTGAAAGTCAGAGGAAACTGGAGCTACTCGTTGAATATTTGACCTGATATGAAAATTAAATGAAGCTCGTAATTCAGCATATAAATATATACATATAAAGAAATCTCTTTCGTGCAAAATAGGAAACATTTTTTTCTGCTTGCGGAGAGGAAAAATGTACTTTAAGCACTAATATTTTAATTTAAAATCAATTTTAAATCCACATGAATACATATAGAGTACTTTTCAATTATGTTAAATGTTGATAATCATCAAAACTTAACATTTATTAACATTTAACATTCAGTACTAAAAAAAACAGACTATATTTAAGTTATTGTTGCACTAACAAAGACAAATACCAGATATAAAAAATGAAACCAAAAAATGGTAAATCGCTTTCCAGTAAACCTAGTATAAGCTAGCTTCAATGTTGTTCATATCAGGTGTCGATATCATATTTTTCACTGCTACTGAACGCGGCAATAAAAGTAGCACACAATATCTCACAATAACTTCCACGACATCACTTTTACTGCTACAAAGCTTCGGGAATGGAGCTAACAATGAAGTTCCTTGTTGACAATTTCTAAATTTAACAAAAACTATACAATTTTTAAAATAACGGATTTAAAACAAAAATCGTAAAAGTAAACATTTTTACAGTGACAATGCAACGACTTTTATATTTTTATTTTCCTGTTATGAAACGTTTACTAATAAATTTTAACTAATAGAATTTTGGTATTTCTAATTAGAACGAGACCAAACACGATCGAATTCAAACTATATTTATTGAGGGAATCGATGATTTCGATTGAAGGTTTTTCAGTATAAATCAAGGTATAGATATATTTAGAAATGTAATCTACTGTCATAAAATATGTTACACTGACTGAATCTATTTTTAAAAAAAATCTGTATTATTTTCAAAACAATCTGTATTAATTTCAGGCCTGTCTCTCCCAAAATAATTTCAAAAAACAGAAGGTGCAGTACATATTTGTCTATGAGTACAAGAATAGCATCTTCGAAACAACAAATACATAAAATAAAACTAAACCGTTCCAATATACTTCATATTCTACTTTTGATTCCTAACACACACATAGTCACTCTTTTTCCATTCATATGAAATCACATGCGTATTCATATGAATACAAATGTATTCATGTACATGTATGGGGTGCTCCAAAAGATGTACTCACACTTTAACTGACTATCACATAAATACTTTGATCGAGATGTTTATCGATTATTTATAAGTTTGACAGAATAAATTAAAAGATGAATAGGGTAGTTATTGAATAGAGTAGTTTTTCAAGATCAAGTAAATGTTAAAATGAATACATTTTTTGGGACACCCTATATTTTCTTGTACAAACTTTTGACTCCGACGGCGCTTATCGGGGTCAGTAAACGCCGCAAGAAGTCGAAATCTCGGCGAGAAACGCTTTTCAGCGCCGCTGAACAGCGGTCTCGAGCGTGCAGCGATGCCTCGTTGGTGTCAAAGCGTTTTTACCGGCACGTTCTCGCAGAAAGAAACATAAAAATGCAGCCACCAGAAAGCGTAACAGTTATCCAACGAGACAAAAAAGGGTCGCTATATCGTCCCGACATGTCCCGTTTCTTTGTTGCTAACAGATCCAATAAATTCCAGATCTACCGAACGGAGATCCCCAAGTAAGAGTGGAGAAGGAACGATACGCTGTCGGGGACACCGTACGTGGAAACTGCACTGTTCCTTCAGGAAATCCACCAGCGAATGTGACGTGGACTGTCAATGGAGTGCCGGTACGTTGATGGATGCAGAAACTTTCGAGGAATGTTAGTCCGGTACTCTCGATAAGCCGTCATCGTGACAGAGATCGATATGTATGGCTCCTTTGGTTACCGTGTTTCATCCAGTTAATAGAATCATGGTATATTTTAAAATATATTCCTGGACTTCTGTTTTTGTCAGTGGAACAAGTTTAATCCTTTATTACGTCGTGTTTGAAATCTCTCGTGGCCGCATTTTGAAAGTGGGTTAAGATTTAAGTTTCCTTGAATTTAAATTTTTTAAGATATTCTTAAAATCGTTGTTCATCAAGGTAGAAAAATTCATAGTTTATTGGTTTATTTATTTATTCTTCAACTTCACCTTTAATCTCAATGTAATGCATTACAGGTTTAGGGTTAAAATCAAATTTCCTCAAATTTTATAATTTAAAGTATTGCGGAGATTCAATAGTAACATAACAGGTGATAATACGAATAATATCCCAGTTTTACAAATTACAGCGTTTTATTATAATACTATTATATCGATCATAAGCCTAACTTGTCCTGATGTAAACTTTTCTGCAGAGAAAACATTGTCACATTATACACAGGGCGTATTACAAACATGTATATGAAACGGATTTTTCAAATGTAGTAAAAACTGCCGAAGAAAGAGTTGAATTACATGATAATCTTTTCGATTTCATTTTCTTCAAAAGCACGACGCATGCAGAAAATGCATATGCAAAGTATTGAAACATAATATTTCGTATATCTCACATATTTTACAAGTCATATACTTCAATAGAAAACTTCAAAAATGTTCATTCTTCATATAATAAGTACCAATATGGCATTTCTTTATGTTTACGTTTTTCCTGACAAAATATGGTCACGTTTATGTCTGAACAATGTAATTCAATTCGTACTTTTCCGCCTTACACAGAAATAAATAAAAATTCACTTTTTGCAACAACCCCATAGAAAAGGATTAAAAACATTGAGGTTAGAAAAACATGGTGGTCACAATGTTGGACTATGCACTCCGAACCATCCATCACAATAAGTTTGTCATACGTAATTTACAAAACATTATGTACAAATGCATCATTCACGAAATGTCCAACTTATCACAAATGTGAGATATCACACGAAATAGTTTTTTAAATAATCTCTCACACCTTTTTACTCTGAATATTCCAAGAAATATGTACCAGAGAAAATATATAACTCCGTTTAAAAACAGTGCATCTGTTTTGTGCAGTAATCCTCTTACGAATAAAATAAATGTTATACTTAAGTTTTTCTTGAGCAGGTTTTTTCTTATTTCGTACTAAATGCGAGCTTCGTTCCAGTTACGTGACACGCCCTGCATACGTACGACTGTTATGAAGTAATATAAAAACTATTACAGGAAGCAGAAAATCACAATTTCAATAAGTAGATAAAAAATTGTAAAAACCAGGTATTATTTTTTTCGGGATAGTTGAAACAGTTTTTAAACCGTCACAAAGGTACTGTGATTATCTGCCATCTACGAATTACATGAGCCCTGATTATGCAGCTCGATGTATGTAATTAAATGAAACCAAGAAATAAGAATACAACATTGTAAAACGATGCGAAACCGTTATAAGTATAGAGTAAGTTGCTCATGAAGTTGCAGTTCGACGGCATCTTAACAGCAACAGACTTCATTTAATCCGGAGCTCGCACTTTGGTGCAAACTAGTAATCTGAAACGGTTTATGGATCTCTTAACTATCCGATGAACATTGTAGTTATAGGTGAAAACACCACAAATCATTCACAGTTCTCGAAGGAGGCATTAACGCGTAAAAGAGAAGCAGGAAGTATTACACTGCACTTTCTGCGGTTCTTCTTCCGCCTCTTATTCTTGAACCAGCTCATTAAAAAGATTATCAGCTTCTTAAATTTTTAATTAAATCAAAACATAGCAATTGGAATGCTATCTGCAATTAATATTTCGGTGCTAGAATTTTTTATTAGCATTTTATAATTATTGCCCGTTTTATGATCCCTGACATGCAACTCATCTATTTCATCACGTGTATAATTCTTTTATATCGGAAGATTGAAAAATTATTTCAATGCTTAATAGCTGACGTTATATTCTGTTGTAGTACTCGCAAAGGACTGTAATTTAAAATTGGGAAGCCGCTAAATTACTAAATTTATAGATTCATGAATATTCGAATATTTCCAAATTCTTAAATTTTCAATTCTTTGAGTTTTTATATTTGAAAATTAAAACTGTTGGGATATTGGGATTAAAAAATTCTGTATTATGAGATTTACAAACGTTAAAGCCGAAGTTTTCAAATTCCGATATTTACAACTCTCCAAATCTTCAAAATAATTCCTAACATCTAAATTCCAGAATTTCCAAATCCCCTAATCTCAAAATCCCTTAACTCTCAAATTACTCAATTATTACAAGTAAATATCCAAATGTTCAAAAGACTAATTTCCTTTCAAAATTCCCAAAATGTCAAATTCTATTACAAAAAATGAAATTGTCCTTTATATTTTTTCTACTCATCCATCACATAATTTTCTCCCTGAAATCTAACTCTTATTTAAAAATTTATTTAAAATTTTTGTATCAATATTTTCAAAGATGGCTTTGTAATGAGTGGCTATAAAAGACTTATGCATTTTGTTACCAACACACGATAAAAATTGATATGACAGATCTTTACAAATGTTTTATTTTTTGCAGGTGAATTCTAGTTTCATGATGAACAAGATCGATGACAATCAGCAACTAATGACTATCGCAGGACTAGATTTTGAGATTATACCGGATAGTTTCAGCAATGGGAGACTGCACATTGTTTGCCACGCTAATGTCTTTCACTTATATAATAAACAAGCTGCTATTGTTTTGAACGAGGAACGTCCACGTTTGGCATCTGTGTTGGGAACTCGAGAGTCTTCTTATGTTGGTATGTTTCGTGAAACTTCTCTTCAATTCAATGAAAGTTAGTTATTCAATTTGTTCTGTACTGTTTCTAATACTGTTTAAAGCTTTCAGGTGTAAATTGGAAGTTTTTCAATTGGTCAACATTGCTGTTTGTTCGATAAAGGATCGAATGGCTGGAGTAAAAGCATACATTTTTACAGATAACTGATTAACAGCAATTTTTTTGTTTAGTGCATTAGTAATGTAATTAGAAACTAAAGGAAAAGTTAGATTAAGGACAACTGGGTGTGCGAGAGTGTGGTTGCCATTTAAATATTTCCACATCCAATTTTATATTTTTACATTTTCAATTTATCGAATTTTAAATTTCTAAGTTTCCAAATTATGGACATTAAAAATTTCTAAGTTTGCAGATTACATTTTTTAGTTTCTAGTGTAACAATTTAAAGTTTAGAGACTTTTATACTTTGAAGTTTCCTAATTTTCTAATATTTTACATTTATGATTTTTCATACAAATTATTTATATTCTCAAAGTTTTTAATTTCCTAAGTTATCAAATCGCCAGATTTCTAAATTTCTGAATCATCAAATTTGGAAATTTCCAAATTTCAAGTTTTCTTAATCCTTAATTTTCATAAATTACCATAATTCTCAATTTTTAATCTCTTAATATCTCAATCTTTGGGTTTCTCAATTTTTCAAACTTTCAATCTCTCAATCTCTCGACCTTTCAATCTTCCAATTTCTCAATGTCTCCAGGTCTCCATGTCTCAATTTCTCAACTTCTAAATTCCACAATTTCTCAACTTCTCAATTCCTCAATTCCTCAATTTCTCAGCTTCTCAATTCCTCAATTTCTCAATTTCTCAATTTCTCAGTTTTCCAGCTCCTCAATTCCTCAATTCCTCAATTCCTCAATTTCTCAGTTTTCCAGCTCCTCAATTCTTCAATTCCTCAATTCCTCAATTTCTCAGCTTCTCAATTCCTCAATTTTTCAATTCCTCAATTCCTCAATTTCTCAATTTCCCACTTTCTCAATTTCTCAATTTCTTAATTTCTCAATTTCTCAATTTCTTAATTTCTCAATTTCTCAATTTCTTAATATCTCAATTTCTCAACTGTTCCTCAATTCCTCAATTTTTCAGTTTCCCAGCTTTTCAATTCCTCAATTTCTCAATTCGTCAATTCTTCAATTTCTCAATTTCTCAATTCCATAATTCCCCAATTTCTTAATTTCTCAACTTCTCAACATCTCGATTTTTCAATCTCTCAACCTCTGAATTGCTCTATTTTTCAATTTCTCAGTTCCTTAATCTCTCATTTTCTACACGACTCCAAGGCTAACCAGCAATTTTCCTCAACTGTCTTTTTGCAAATGACTTTCACATGTTACCCTAATTATTCATGCTGTAACGTTATCAATTCAAATGTCTTGTGGGTATGAGATCGATGTCAATATACCTGCTCAAAAGAAATATGGCATAGAAAAATTTTAGGCAAAAATTGGCCAAATTTGACTGATGATAACTCCGTGAAAAATCATCGCAAAGTTATGCTCTTTTTTTCAAATTAAAGCTTGAGATCTCTACTTTAAGACGCTGTAGTTTGATTTTAGATTTGATGCATCACTACCACAATAACACCGAAAATGTGAGGTCATGTTTGCTATTTTGAAAATTACAAAGTTTGACGAAATGCATGGACTTGCAGAGCCATATGATGTGCAAAATCTGTCCAGCAACCTCTCCGAGGTGCATATCGGGTAATGCTAATGCCGGCGGTATATGCCATAAATGCAAGGGTTTCTTTAAAGTTCTGTATCTTTGCGGGAAAAAATGGTAGCGATTTTTCACATACTGAAAATTAAAGACGAAGGTTTGTACTTTATGCTGCTGTAAACAGTATCAGCAAAAAAAAATGTGGCAAGTCTATGCATTTCGTCAAACTTTGTAATTTTCAA